ATATATATATATATATATATATTATATATTATTAATGATTGTATTTTTTTCTTGTAATAGATAATTAAATAATAATTTTATAGATTTTACAGAAAATTAACTCATGATTAGCTCTTTATTTATAATTAAATAGTTAATTATAAATAATAATTATAGATAGATTTTTTTATAATATATTAATCATTATTATGTTATTCATTTGAATACACTTTATACATTAATATAATTAATCACAATATATATATATATATATATATATATATATATATATATATATATATATATTTAATGATTGTATTTTTTTTCTTATAATAGATAATTAAATAATAATTTTATAGATTTTACAGAAAATTAACTAATGATTAGCTCTTTATTTATAATTAAATAGTTAATTATAAATAATAATTATAGATAGATTTTTTTATAATATATAAATCATTATTATGTTATTCATTTGAATACACTTTATACATTAATATAATTAATCACAATATATATATATATATATATATATATGAGATGAAGTATAGGTTTTATCTAGATGTTAGATTGACCAAAGTATAATCATCAAGAGTGATATGAATCGTCAATAGGACTAAACTAAAATAAGCTTTTTTTTAAAAGGAAAAAACTTAGAAAAATCTAATATATTTACATCAAATTATTAAAAAAAAAAAACTACTATATTATTATTTATTTTTTTTTACGTTAAAACCCTAAACCCTAGATAGCAAAAAATACTATAGAATCAATTTTTAACAGTTTGATGGTTACAATCCACTATATTAAAACTTTTCAAAAAAAAAGAAATAAAGCTTTTGATATACTAAAAAAATAATGTAGTGGTTTTTTTGAAGCTTCTGGACCCTTTGAGGTATTTGAAACCTATGAATTTTCGATTTTGGGCGGTACCACGTTGTGGTGAAGGCATCCCACGACATGGTGAGGGTTTATGGCTCGCGGATTTTAAATAGCTGCCACTACATGGCAGCCTATGGCCACGACGTGACAGTTATTTAATGAGATACCCTAAATTTACAGGGGTTATATAAGGGGACGTGATGGCTAGGTTTGCTCACGCTCGGCCTCCATCACACTCTCTCAGCCTCCAAGAAAACCCTAACTCCCTTTGTTGCTCTCTAAGCCTTTTGGTGTTGATTTTTGAAGATTAGAAGAAGGATGAGGTTACTTCTAGACTTCAAATCAACAAGCAACTCTTCTCACCATCTTGTTGTGCGTGGCCAAGGATTCGCATCTGTGTTGTCAGTTGAAGGCCACGGCGTGGCCAAGGATGGCCACGACATGAAGGGTCCATCTTGACTGTTAACTTTGATTTTGGTTATGACCTGGATTTTTACTAGGGACTGACGTAGGGGTATTTTAGGTAATTCTACCTATAAGTTGAGATTGTGTCATTGAATTTATTAAGGTATTGGTAGTCTTGATCTTGGGACAACGTGGTTGTCAGTTTGTTTATCTGTCTGTGAAGTGAGTTTTCTCACTATATCCATGGGTCAAAGCACTAATGTCGGCCAATTACTTATTATGTGGATTGCTAATTTTCTCTGCATGAAAGATCATGATATGGCCCCTCGCACTTGTATCTAAGGCTAGGATTTTTCCCTCGACATAGCAAGGAAATACCATAGGGTAGCCCATGGCACGTGTATGTAAGACCGGGCTTTGGCCATCAGCATTGCAAGGAAAGACCATAGGGGTAGCCCATGACATTTGTATGTTTTATGTAAGTGGTATTTTGGGGAACTCACTAATCTTTATGTTTACCGTTTATGTTTAAGGTTTTAGCTATCTCTGATTCGAAAGGGAAGGGCCCGGCGTGATGGCACATCATCCTCCTCTCTTGATTTATGCATTTTTAATAATTGTACCCTGATGTTTTATATAATATGGCTTGATATGGGTTTTGAACAATTTATGAATGACTTGATAGATTTTTAAATGAAAATTTTTATTACCATTTTCGGGACATTACAAGTTGGTATCAGAACCTTGGTTTGAGGAATTCGGACACACTATCGGGTATGTCAGAACTCAACTTAGGAAATGATAATTTTTCTTATGAAAAATGAAGTTAAACTTCTGAAACGCTTTTATTAAGAAGATGGGGTGCGATGCGTGCAATCAGTCAAGCTCAAGTAAGTGGTTCCCAAATTACCTATACCTATGTATTATGAGTAGTATTCCTGATATGAGAATTGCATGTTATATTAGGGCTAAGGATACCTTCAGGTATCATATGATAGAATTGCCTGATTTGCGTGATGCCTCTGTAACATTCGTATTTTGGTAAGTTTCCCTTTTAACCCTTAATGCACATTCTTTACATTTTTCCCCTAGCTAGTATGTGGGGCGTACTCTAGGAGTATGCTTAGCGTACTAGCCATTTCCGGATCGTGAGTTTGAAGTTGTGTGACTCCCATTAAGCCATACATGAGTTTGAAGTTGTGTGACAACCCGGATATTTTTCTTAGTCAACAAAGTCAAGTTTCCATTAAATAAATTCTAAATTTTGCATTTTTCGTTAAGTTCATAAGGGTTGGAAAATAATTTAAATTATATAAATAAATTTTATATAGTGTCGGAACCAGAAGCGCTCGAAAAATCAGGTTTTCTCTCGAAAAATCAACAAAACTCATTCAGCCAGGCGTTTACGACCGTCAACCCTTGGGTCGTAAACTCCTAGGTCGCAAACCCGTTTACTGCCGAGAACCCAATTCCGACCGCAAACCCGACCGGTATATAGGTGTTTCCTGGAGAGATTTCTCATTTTTCATCTATTTCACCAAAAAAACACTCTCAAATTGCTCACAAGAACCTCCCAATAACATTCATCTCATCCAGATCAAACCTTCAAATCTTCAAGTTTTTCACTAAGAACACCTAGAACAGCCTTCGTATCTTCAAGGGATGCAAATCAATTCACAGCTGCAAACCGTTCACAATCGAAAATAGTTCGCAGCC